TGGTAGTTCTTGCTCTACATATTTCAACTCAGAATAATAGGGAGAGGATCTGATATATGAACTCACCAAAGGGAGAAAAAACCCTGAAGATATAAACAAACTGGGGAAAAAAATTCATGATTTATAAAAATTATAACCCCAAAATCGGAACATGGCAATTTTATGACTTGTAGAGACTCAGCAAATTCAAATTATTTCAACACATATTTACTGAAGGACTTTCCAGTATCAAGGGTGCCAAATAAAGAAAAGTCAAAAATAAGAGTCTGCTTGATTGAAGAATCACCAGGAGCTATTAGAAGCAATGAAGCCTGTGCACTTAACCAACAGAAAGAACACTGGTTTTTCTGTGCACAAGCTCTTGCATACCACATAATGCCCACAGTATGAGTATACGGTATTATGGCATTAGTTTTCACACAGGAAAAACAAAACATACCTATATGCCTTCTTGTCATTTCTACTGTAGCATTTCGGTTAACGTTGGAGAGTAAACCTAAGCAGAACCTCTCTGAATTTGATGGATCTGTAAAGCCATCTACAGTGAGTGAGGGCTGTGATGCATGGAAGGTTTCTCCAACCCTCTGATTTAATTCATAATATGCTATTGAACACCAAAATGCAGGTTCTGAGTAAGTAACTGGCTGCAAATCTGGGGGGGAAAAAAAAAAAAAACAACATAAAAAGAAGAAATGTGTGAACAATTCAAGCCAAAAATAGATCGAACACCATCATCCTTACACGTTCTATGCCAGCATACACTGGCAACAGCTCAGGAAGTAGACATAACATTTTTATCAGTTTCCAAAGATCATATCAAATTTTCAATATTTTTAATACAGAACTCCAGTTTCCATAGATCATACCAGACTTTCAATTTTTCAAATTTCTCATGTCATTAAGTCACTTTATGTCAGATTATCTGTTTTACCAATAGTTTTAGTCTAATTCCTGTTCAAATATAAAACAATCGTACACCAAAAAAGTCAATTTGCCCTATTTGGTGGATTTCTAAAATGCATTAAAAAGCTAATTTTTGGTAAGATAAACTATATAGAATAAAGCTTCAGCAAAGATTAATGAATCAAAAGCCATAAGAAAAACTGTCATAACGAAAGGATAGAAAATATGACATGTTTTTGACATTTGTCTATTTTACCGTGAGATTCTCAGTGAATTACCCTAGCTACAAAAATAGAAAACCTATGTAATACGTAAGAATCAGAAAGTAATAAAACACAAAGAATATGAAAGTAGAAACAGAATATGGAATCAAGAGAATACTTATTTCACTGGAAAACTGGATCACATATATTCTTCTGTAATTTTGACTAAAACATACAAGAAATATTATGAACAAAATAAAATCCTGACAATTTTGTAAAATAAATTTCGAACGCGGTGAAACTGAAGAGAAATTGTGAAATAGCAAGGTAAAATGAGGGCCAAAAAAGAGATTACAGAAGAGTTTATACAGTCAATCAATCCCTCACTAGCTGAGGGTATTGCTTCCAGGACCAACTCTTACCAAAATCTGAGGATGCTCAAGTCCCTGATATAAAATGGCATAGTATGTACATAAAACCTATGCACATCCTCTCATGTACTTT